CCCCCCCCTTTTTATATATTGTTTTATTGTTAACGAATTTGCACGCATTTACGTCTTGGACTTACGGTTAGCACCGAGTCCCTGAGGAGACGACCCTACTTATCGCTATCACAAGTGTGTTTTAGAGATAATAGGCGTATTTTCATAAATTTTATTATTTGCCGGACCCGACACCCGTCAAATTTTTATGATCATTAGTAGACCACAGAATTATGTGCAGTATAAGCTAGTTTCTTATACATTAAACTAAAGACGGAGTCCAACCTGATGGATGCCACTTTCATGGGAAAAAGCATTAGCACCAACAATAGCTTTATGTGGCTGCACCTTCATTCCAGTGTACTCTTCCACCTAAATAATTAACACAGGAGCATGCACTTAATTCATGATTCTTGAAGTAGATTAAAATATCAATAGAAGTAAAGCTTTGAATATATTCTACATACCATCTTGCTAGTCATCACAATATGTCTTGTATTGATCCCCGTGTAAACACCACCCAATAACTCTCCTTTGCATTTCATAGTCATTACCACCTATGATATGTTCACCAAACAGTCATGAGAGACATCCATCAATAAATTCATGATAATGGAGTTCAAAAACATGTGATCGGGAAAACCACCCTTTTAAATCTTTTGATACAAATGTTAAACAGAAGCATGCACCATCTTCAAATGATTATTATCAACAAGAACGGAAGCATAATACTCACCTCTTCCAAAGAAGCATTACCAGCTCTCTCTCCGATTCCATTTATTGTTACATCTACTTGTGTTGCACCTGAAGACATCCCCTGGAATCTTCCACAAACGTCAGCATATATACTACAGTTGATCATAGGCAAACCAAAAACATAACTATTGTATATACCTCTATAGTATTGGCAACAGCCAGTCCTAGATCATTATGGCAATGGATAGCAAAAACGACATTCTCAATGCCAGGAGTGTTGGCTTTTATGTCAGCAACGAGTTGTCCAAACTCACGAGGCAAACAATAGCCAACAGTATCAGCAATGCCAATAGTCGTTGCACCTGCTTTGATAACCTCGCTCACGATCTCGTATAAGAATTCTCTATCCGATCTGTTAACAAGCATATATAGTACACGATTCCATAGTTATTGATCGAGGATCATACATTGCAAATAAACAAACAGCTTATGGCCGGCTTTTCCTATATATTTTACTTCACTTATTGCAAACCAATCACTATTCTTATGGTTGAATTGAAGTTTAGATAAAAATATACCTTGTAGCATCCTCCAGGCCAAATTCAATGTCATTAAACCCTACACTTCTTGCATACGCCACCATACTCCTTGCTTTTTCTATCACTTCTTSTTTTGACATTTTGAGTTTATACTTCATGTGAATCTCACTCGTCGATATAAACAACAATATTCTCGGGAACTTGGCATACTTCATGGCATCCCATGCCGTTAAAATATCCTCCTTTATGCACCTCGCCAAGCCGCAAATGATCGGCACATGACCATTCATGTCACCGACCGTTGCATTTCCAACCTCCTGCGCGATCAACTTAATGGCTTCCACCTCAGATACCGAGGCAGCAGGGAAGCCTGCTTCAATGATATCAACACCCAATTTGGCAAGTTGACGAGCAATCTGAAGTTTTTGGTTTGGGGTCATGCTGGCGCCTGGGGATTGTTCACCGTCCCGGAGAGTGGTGTCGAAAATGCGAATGTATTTAGGGTCCGGGATGTGGTTGGGAGTGTAGTTTGGACGGCGAGAACACATGATTAATGTTGCCTTTTTAGCTTGCATTGAGGGTTTGAAATACGTAACCATCGGATTGATGATGGAGGTGGTGTCAACGATGGCAGTCGGAGTAAAGAAAGTAGCAGTACATGGAGATAGAGATCCAGCCATGGCTATGGAGGAATTGGTGCTGTGTGTGTGGGAGATAGTCGGACAGATGATGCTTAATTCGTTAAGCCACAAGTTTATATATAGAAATATTTCTTACAATCTCAAACAAGTCGTTTGTACCACTACTTGATTCACCCCTATCTGTACATGTGGGGGTGCAATTCTTAAAGATGAGATTTTGATTACACAATTATACTATTTGTTTATTGGGAAAAGTAAAAATCAATGGACTTTCTTGTTTGAAATGATTAAGTTCTTAGACTTTTTTTTGGAACAAATAAGTCCTTGGACATTCCAAAACATGTTAAATAAGTCATTGGACAATTTTTTG